ACCAGTACTTCTAGATTTAAAGTATGTTGCATTGGCTACATAAGAGATACGATGTAAACATTTCTGGCTATTTTTTTGCACCAAGTTTGGAAGTCCTGAGTTGCAGAGGAGTGGGACTTTCTCCATTCACTTGGATGGCAATCAGTTAACTGATTATTTGACTCCAAATAATGTGAATGGCTTTAGCTATCACTTTTACCAAAAAGTGGCTTATCAGTATCCTTTCTTAAATGGCTCTGTGGTTCCAAAGGCCTGGAATCAGCAAGTTAAAAAACTTTTTCCCTCTGTGTTTGTGCCATTGCCAACTAAAATTAAATTGTAAATTAAAATGAAGGGCTTGGGGTAGCACAGTTTTACATTCAAGGTAGCTCAACAAATAACCATTTTAAACTTTGAAGACCTTGCTGAAGACACTGGTTGCCATATTTTAAAAGAAGTTGGTATGTGTATGTTTGCTCCTTCGTATGAGATGAAATAAGGCAGCCAATGCTTTTCCATGGTTTCCATGGAAGTATACAGGGAAGAAGCGCTGGCTCTAGCACATGCTGAGTGCAAGAAATAAATTGACCAAACTCCATAAAGTTTGCCAAAAACAAAACTTCCCTCTTCAAAAAAATAGGCACACCCCTCTCTCTTACTGTGTACAGCCCTTCACCAGGCTCTCCTACCATTTTCCTCCCTGTAACACAGACTCTGACGTCTTTTTCCAATGCACAGGTGTTGGTGTTCTTTAGGTTGGAGTACGGTACAACACAGCAGTTGTCTGCCTTATTCATAGCCCAATCTGATAATTTACAGCAAAATTTAATGTGCCTTTAAAAACTACTGCAGTTACTCTCTCAGAAGTGATTTGAAGGCAATATTCCCAGTTTTGGGAAGCCCAGAAAAGGGGTCTTTCCTACCCCATCCAATCCACTTTTTTCTCCCACCCCCAACCATGCCAACTCATCACAGGCTATCCTGGGAAGGAGACAATCTTTTTCTGCCCTTTATGTCACTCTGGTGGCGGTGAAGAATGCAGCCCTTTGCAATGGAGGGTTGCCACCAGGACAAAAGATCATTTCCACCCAAAGACCACATCAAAGACCCTTCCTCCTACTTTTCCAAGGCCATCTCATTACTTTTTTCCCTCTTTATGAGCAGGGTCTAAATTACAAGCAAATGCCCTAGGCACCCTTTCCTGTGGCTAGTGTAATCTGCTAAAGACATCAAAGTCATACAGCACCCTTGCTTCAGCATTTGATCTGCCCAGATACAGTAGGATTATTCCTCATTAAACAGGTAATAGATGAGTATCTGGAACACGACAGCCAATAATACAGACATTGTTAGTTCTACATAATCACCTAATTTTCCTTGATGTCTCTATTATAAATATATATGAGTCTACAGTACTGGACTGGTAAATGATCTGCTACAATTGCTAATCAAATCTCTGCTATTTGTCAGCATTCAAAAAAGCTCCTTGACATTTTCAAACCTCTAGATGAGGTAGGAGAATACCACAGCAGACCACAAAGAATGGGAAGAAGTGAAAAATTATTCAGAATGAAGAGAGGGCATGGCTTCCCCCCTGCTTAAACAGAAAGGAAACCATTTTATCCCGTAAATAAAAGGCACATCTAAAATTGGAAGGTTTCCAATTCATCTCACCAGGTCTGTTTGAAAACTTTGTACAACTCTGGGGACACAAACCAGCCAAAACCACAGAGACCAGAGAGGAGAAGAACAACCTGGGGTGAGCTAGGGGGAGGGCAAAGAAGTGATGTTGTTTGACAGAAAATGTTCTTACAACAGCTCTGAAAATGCCCTGGGTGGTTTGTCTGACATTTGGAGTTATCAGTTTCACTTACCAATAGATTATCAGATCAAGTTGCTGCAACTTTATCAGGTATTAATTGCATCTGGGCCAGGGCAGCTTTTTGTTATGCCCATTTGGGAATTCTAGGCTTATTTGCTTAGCTATTAAAGAGGTAGGAATGGGATTTTTAGCCTAAAAATGTCAAAAAAGAATGAAATATCCTAGAGTATCTACCGAAAAACCTGACACTCTGGAGAATTTCCAGATTGAGTGAGAAGTGATCCGACACTCGTATAGACAGAGCAGCATCCTTTGAGGGGAGAACACCACAGTACAACACACCAGCCACCATGCAACAAAAAAAACCCCTCATTTTTATTTTTTTTTTTAAGGGGGATAAAAATGTTTTTTCTTCCTGGAAAGTGCAATGTAAATGACATAAACAAAACAATTATTTTAAAATAATGAAAGCAAAAATGCTTATTACAGAGTAGTTACAAAAGTTAAGGGCACTCAAATCCCATATTGCTTACACATATTCACAACCACCCCACAGGAAAAAAAAAAAAAAAAAGAAGAATGAATGGTACCCTTTCTGGGGGAGGAAGGGTGATACAGAGGATGCAGTGGCTAGTTTGTTGTTTGTTGTAATTAGCGTTAACATCAATAAAGAGCACAAGTTTTGCATCCCATCACGCCTCTCATTACTAGAGTACACAACCTCCTAACCTCCACCCAAGAAAATGATATCATTGCATGAATTAATCATCTGGACAATTAACGGCAAAAAGCGACCTCAGGTTTCCAGCACAGTGTCTGGCACCAGTGAATTGGCGATGACGTAACCTGCCCTGGGAATACGCTGGCGTTTTGCCCGTTCCTGAGCCTCACTGTTGACTCTGAGGGCAGAAGCAAACAATGTAGTCACCCAACCAGCAATAACTGCTGCAAGCGAACACCAGCCTACTGCTGCTGCAACGTCACAGGGATGCTCATCCTTCCAGCTCCACGGGTGCATCTCCCAAGGAAGATGCACACCCCAAAACCGGCAAGTGCGAATGACTTCCTCTGATGTGCAGAGAGACACGGACTCTCCAGGTGTGCTGAGTATGTGCCCTCTTTTTGGAAGGGAGAACCTCCTGCTCTGCCACCTGGGAGCTCTGCAGCCTTTTAGAATGTGGGAATAAGCAAGTTATTTAACTATTTCCCTGTTTCTGGGGTAGAGGGAAAGAAGTTTATTATGCTGGGGAGTTTGTTTTCAGACAGTCCGACTTTGCTTCATTTCTTAACTCACTCCATTGCTGTGAGTGCTCTGAAAGTTGGAATCAAACTCAACTATGATCATGTTTTTTCTATCTTAAAGGACCTCAAGGATTAGAAAGGTATGAGAAATCAAGAGACAAAACCCCTATAGCTTACAATATGTACCCTGTCTTAGATCTGTTTTTCAGTGAGCTATTCCAGGTGGCATGAGGAAAACCTGCATCTATCTTACAGGAATCTGCAGCATGTTCTCTTTTTTTATCACAAAATACAAATATCCTCTATAAGGTGCAGCACTTTTTTATCTGAACCAGGTGAGTGTCCCTTCAATTGGGGCATGTGCACAAGCTGTGACTCAGAGGGAGTCAGACTCAGCGTGCCACCTCCGTCAGCACATCCCAGAGACTTCAAGGGATTTCATGGGCAGAGTGTAGACATGAGCATGGAGGTGCTCTCTGATGGGAATATCAGGCATTCTCCCTACCTTCAGGCCACATAGGAAAACCACAGAAAAGAAAGAACTTTGGGTAGAAAAAAGTTGACACCCTGATGAAAGAAATTTCATGTCAGGCAGGAAGAAGAACTTACTTTGGCAAACAGGCTTAGTTAATCCAAGATGAGCAATTTTGTTGCTTCTCCCTGTAGGGCTTTCTCTCTTACTGCTCCTTTCTGAAGGAGCCTCTGGCTATTGCTTTCTGAGCAAGCAGAAAAAGCATGTCTCCCTCAACACTCATCATAAGAATTAGTTTCCAACAGAGATGAGGAGCATCACAGCATTCCACAGGTAAGCCACATCTTTGTCTCAACAACAGTTTCCTCTGGATCATGGCTTGAAAACAACGAGGTGGTAAAAACGTATGAGAAGCAGCTAAAGCCGTTAATGCCTTATAGTGAGCTGTGATCCCTGCCCCAATTAGTGACCAGACTAAGTTCACCCACTTCAGGACAGCTGTGTCTCAAAGGCTTGCAAAAATGTAAGGTGAAGAAGTGTGATTATAACATCATCCTTGCAAACAACATTCCCTGTCTACATGGCTTAATGCCACTTGCCACATTTGTAATCTGTCTTCCCTTACCTGCCCTGTCTGTTCAGCAGTCACTTGTTATCAGAGCAAAGGCAGTGAACCAAAAGGAAGGGCAGAGGCTAATTTGCTTGATGTGGTCCTGTTCTTCCAGATAACATTAATTTGTGGGCTCTAACCTTATCCTTAGAGATGTTCGCCTTTTCTTTACATCATTAAATGGGAAACAGCAAGTCTGTGGAAACAACTATCACTCTAGCAGCCGGCACACAGGATTGTCTGAGCATCATTTTCTCTAACCAGTCAGATAACCTGTCTGGATTCCACCACATCTACCCCCCTTTACTTTCCAGGTGTAGCTGGCTCAGCAGACAGAATTAATCCACTTTTGTACTCACTTGCACTCTCCATGTTAGAGAATCTGATTACACAGATTGCCTGCAATTTATCTCCACCTGCGATGACTAATGCTCCGGTTTGACCTCCTCTTTCCCATTTTAACATCTCACTGCAGATCCAATACATACACAGACAGATGCACACACACTTGCTCTGTTTTGTTTGCAAACAGCTTACTGAGAGCCTCGGCATCTTCATTTCCAATCAAACCAGAAAGCACTACTGTTTTCCCCCCTCTACCCATGAGGTAATTTCTCCCTTTTGTCTCCTCTCATTACATTTATACTGCTCAGGTTTCATACATTGCTGCTGGATCCACAAAAACCCCAGGCATCTGTCTGTACAGACACACATGGTGAACATGCAATGTTATATACCCCTGCAGCACACATAAAGACAAAGGCACACGTTACACACACTGAGCAACTGCCACCACATGCATTCTTGTTCCCTCCAAACCTCGCAGGAAAAAAATTGCCTGCAGAGTGCTTTCCTATAAACAAAAACAGCCTTACCTTTCCTTATTCCGCTAATCCAGGGGCCCTGGACCGATTCGCTTTCCCTCCTGCACACAAGCTGCCAGTCCCTCCTGCTTCACATTCACAGCACACCAGCAGGATTCACCGTCATCCCATTCTGCTGGATCCTTATCGCCCTATTGGCCAAAGCCAGACAGTAAATTCAATTAGGCTCCTCCTTATAACTATATTATCACAGGAACAGGAATGAATAATTTAGTAAAACAACAAGGGTGTGCAGGCTCCAGTGTCACAGACTTCACCCTGACTGTCAGGATTTTATCAAATAGAGGCAGATAAAGAAACCAGAATCTGTCTGTCACTCCTGAAAAGGAGACCTTAGATTATCCACTTGTATTTCCCATTCCATCCTTCTTGTCCTCCTCCCCCTTAGCCACGGCATTCCCTTTATATTGTTGAACATCCATTCACAGCCCACAACACAGTATTTCCCTGGTGAATGGTCATTACCATCTCAGTGGTTGCAGAGGTTTCTCCCCAGGCAAAGCAATACTGCAGAGCATCAAACGCTTTGACTGTCCCCTGAATGCGACGTGCGGGAAAAGAATGAAACTGTTCTGCAGAAGGGAGTGACAAGACAAGCAGATCATAAGGAAAAGGGAGAGTCTGCCTTGTATCTCACAATATCTTCTGTTCAGCAACTACATTGTCAGTCCATCAGTTCAGACACCCACAGAATGCAAGCACATGGTTCCTGAAAGAGAAAGGTTCAGAGATGCACTGTCCAGGGACTGTGATTTCACATGCTTGCTGTGGGAGTTTGAATCTCCACATCAAAAAATGCACCAAAGCAGCAATTTTTCCCCAGATGAAGTAATGGAACCCTTCTGGCTTTTTTTTCTCTTTTCTTTTTTCTAACCAGAAACCTCTAGTGACAAGTACCCACACCTATATTTCCTAAGAAGTAGTTTTCCCAAAATGAACAGTGCTCTTTTTCCTCAGGTGATGCTTTGTTTAAGAGTTACAAAGCATTTCAGATTCCCTTAACAAGGTCACTTCTGTCTAAGTCAAGCCTCCTGCCACCTCATTTGCCTGAAAAGTTTGACTCTTATGGGCAGCAGAGGAGCTCAGTGGGACAACCCATCCCACTCCCAGAAAAGACCGAAGCAGCCAACAGGTCTTTTTAATGACCATTTACAGCAATATTGAAAGCTATTGCTAATGCATGTTTGCGTGCACAGTATTGACTAACAAATCTATAATTTAACCGTAGCTAAAAAATAAATAAGCAGGATGAAGTTGCTGTTCTTCTTCCCTCAGAGGAGCCTGTGCCCCTTAGAGTCTAAGAACACTCTTTGTGCTCTGCTTCCGCTGTGCTAATATTTACTCAGTAGAGCAAAGGTACCTGCTATCATAATGAAGAGAGGTTCAAATTTGCATTAAAGCCCAAAATCCTTCAAGCAACTCCTTCACCAGCTCTCAGTTTGGCTCATCTCCCAGGCCTGGTGGGCGGAGTAGCCTCAATCTACCTCCAGAGGCAGTGGGGACACCAGGCTGAAGTCAAACCCAAGTACCAGCAAGGCTACAAAGGCAGACCACTGTTGACAGATCGGAAGTTTTCCTAAAGGCAGTGTCTTTCTTTAGGCACTGCCTTCATGTTGAAATACTGGTAGGAAGCTGGGACAATGCACAGGGATTGCCACCTTCTAAATTGCTCAGTCTCAGCCCCAGTGTAGGATGGAGCCATGCTGCCTTCCCTGGGAGAATAGGGCACAGGAACAGTGGATGCTTTTGCCTTTCTCATCAAGATCAAGGCGCTAAGGGGAGAAAAAGTGACAGTCTTGACTAAGTTTTTGTCTTTGTTACGTATTTCTTAGCCATAAAAAGGGACAAAACTGCCCCCTTGCTCCTGAAGATGCTTCACTTTTGAAGAATGGCAGCTGCTCTTTTCCTCCTCCTCTTTCCCTTGCAGCCAACTAAACTTTTAAGAGTTTTTGTGTTAAAGGAAACCCTAAATTATGCACTTGGTGATAGCTTCAGAGCAATTAAATTAAGCCATGTGGCAAGTTGCCCAATGTCACTACCAAAGCTCAGGATGTTTTAGCATCATTTATTGAGGAGCTTTTACATGATGCTTACTTAAACCACAAAAAGAGAGCAAATTAGGCTGTTGCCATGACAACTAGAGAATCTGCTCAAAATTCAGGAGACGCTGAGGAGGGGGGGAGAGCTCTTCAGTGAAGATCTTCACATCATGAATATGGCCCTTGGTTATCAAATCCCTTTCAAGTTAATTCCTAGCATCAAAGCCTCCCCAACAAAGGCTTTAATAATCAGGTGCAAAGCTTGGCTAAAGGCGGCACAAACCAGCTCTGCCAGCCCTAATGTGAGTTTCATTCTGGTGAGGGTTGCTCAGCTGAGAGGTCCACAGAGCCATCACAGAGGTGGCAGCACTGGTGCATGAACACACATGAGGCAGAGTGGAAGAAGTGACAGGGGCTTCACTGTAGACAGGCACTGAATAGAGAGGCAGATCCTGACTGTGCTTCAGTAAAGATGAATGACAACTTCCACAGGGGAGAGGGAGAGGGAGAGAAGGAAGCAGGGTCCTAGCCACTGCTGGTAGAAACCCTCTAGAATTTGGAATAAGCTGAGCAAAGTCTTCTGCCAACCACAAGAAATGAATTAAAGGAAATAAGAGAACAAAATGGCAATACTAGAAGCGGGATTAATGGCATCAGAAGAAGCTGACAAACTAAGCAAATGGAAGACAGGCTACTACAGTTCTGCAGGAATTAAAACCCTTGTTAGTATTGTCGAATATTTTGTATCAAAGCTGGTTCTCTGTGTAATTTTTTTTTCTTTCAGCTGAACAACTTTTCTGTTGCAAGCCTTCTAAGAAAAGCTCTATTTTATTAGAAATTTCTCAGTGAAGTCTTTTGGTTCTCAGTTCCATTAGCTGAGGTATTTTTGGCTGAAAACAAAGAATGCCTCTTTGGAAAAATTCCAGAAAGCTTTTTAGATTTCATAGAAGGTCTCTCCTTCCTCATAATTATTTCTGATCAGATAATTCATTGCCAGTGGAAGCTTTGGTGTTCTCCTTTGAAATGAAGGCATAAACCCCTTTTGAGGGATAGGAACAATAAGTGGGAGCATACCCAAAATTAGGGAAAATTAAGCACCCAGGCAGATGGAATAAACTGTGAAAGTTTCTCCCCCTCCCTCTGCATCCTCAGGTGAGAGGAACTGTGGTTAGCAGTGAAAACAAGAAGCAATTGAGAAATTTAAGGAGAGACAAATGATTGTATTGTTGTGTCATATTCCAAGTAGGACACTTGCCAAGGCAAAAGGATACATATGATAGGGATGCAAAAGTTCAAGAAACAATGAAAAAAACGCTGCTAATAAAAACTATGCATTTTCAAGATATAAGTGCTCTCGTATCTGATACTCTCATATCTGATGTCCTGTTCATCTTTTGAGTCCCAAGATTGATTGTCAGTCTGCTTTACTTGAGATGTTGTGGTAATGTTTCAACACCTTGAGTTCTAAGTGTTGATCTTTTAATGTAGTCTTTCTCCTCGTGCCTGGGCACCATATTTATAGGTTGCTAATAGTGCCCAACATCAGGCTGATTGTAACTGAACATAAAACAAGGCTTTAATTTGTTCTCTAGTTGTAAATAAGACTGGCTATTTCTTTTCGTACCCCCTCCCTGAAATTTTGCCATACCTTTCAAAAAACATTTGTCAGCTATTCACATTGTAGCAGCAGGAGTAGATTAGGCTGCACACAACCAAGTAGGTTTGTTTTGGACCCACAATACATGGCAGAGACGAGAGACTGAAGTGAACTTTCTTTTTTTTCATATTACAACACCCTCTCTAACAGCTGTCAGTTTGGCAAACATGCTCCTGGGATGGTGTAACAGCAGGAGCAGCATTCGAGGGGCAGGTTCCACAGAAATAAGTCTGAGGAATCCGAGGAATAAAGGAGAGGGTGATGGAGAGAAGAATAGAGCAATGCATAGCAGAACAGGAATGAGCTCTTCAGAAGTATCTGGGATGCTATTTTCTGAAGTGGACTGTCTTTGGGACAAGCTGAATTTTACCTAGTCAGACTGAGGCATTATCTTGGGGCTTCAATGTTACTGCATATGTGTGTGTGGTGGTCTCTATGAAAGGCATATCACCATCCCATTGAAAACGCATTTTCATGTCCCAAACATGTTCTTAATTAAAATAATTTTTAATTCTTCAACAATAGTGACTTATTTAAATAAACTTTTCAAGAACTTCTAGCTATCATATCTTAATCTATGAGAAAAAATTTTTTTTCTACTGCCATTCTGTACTTACTTCAGTAAGTAAAAGTGAGGAGTGGCTGAGGGAGCTGGGGTTGTTTAGCTTGGAGAAAAGGTGGCTCAGGGAAGATCTTAAAGCTCTACCACTACCTAAAAGGAGGCTGTAGCAAGGAGGGGTATGGTCTCCTCTCACAAGTAACAAGTGACCAGGGGAAATGGGGTAGGGGAGGTTTAGATTGGATATTAGGAAAAAAACTTCCTCATTGAAAGGGTTGTCATGCATTGGAACAGGCTGCCTAAGACAGTGATTGAGTTACCTTCCCCAGAGGTACTTAAAAGAAATGTATATGTGGTGTTTAGGGATATATTCTAGTGGTGGACTAGGCAGTGTTAGGTTAAGGTTTGGAATCGATCTTAGAGGTCTTTTCCAACCTAAATTACTCTGATTCTACAATTCAGTAACACTTTTCTATAATTAATTTGTTCGTTGCAGTGACTTCTTGCTATCTCAAACACAATAGAATATGAGGCCTTAAGAAGCCTTGTTTTATCCCACTATGCCATTCTAACAGAAGAAAATGCAAATGCCAGTTTTTTCCCATAAGGATCCTTGAGTGACAATCTATTTAACAGCAATAAACTTTCAAAATACAAGTACATTACTTTTTCACCAGATCCCATGCCATATTTTGCATAGCACTGTTTCAAGGCTCTGGAAGTTTCCAAGGCAAAAATAGATGCTCTTGTTTATCGATAGGACAGGTTTCCTCCTCCCAAAGGTTAGAAAACAGAGAGATCTACCCTAATTCCATGTCAGCATAGGCAATATCCCAACTGTTACAGCACTCATTTAAGATGCAGG